GAGAGAGAGAGAGAGAGAGAGAGAGAGAGAGAGAGAGAGAGAGAGAGAGAGACAGAAGAGAGAGAGAGACAGAAGAGAGAGAGACAGAAGAGAGAGAGAGACAGAAGAGAGAGAGAGACAGAAGAGAGAGAGAGACAGAGACACAGAGACAGACAGACAGACAGAGACAGACAGACAGAGACAGACAGACAGACACACACACATGCAGAAAGAGAGGAAGAGAGAGAGAGAGAGAGAAAGTGCTACTGAATCTCAGGGGATCAGAGACAGGAAGTTGTCCAGTTTTTAGAGGTGTTTTGCATAAAATGTGTAACTCTGGTGAGTGATGCCTGTTAAATTAATGATGCTCCCATGTATGCTGACCTCATTTAACACAGAGACACAGCTTGTAACTGCCTCCCTGCCTGAACAGGCTGCAGTGAAAAATAATCCTATCAGGAGAAACCAAGTGCAGGACGCCCAGCTGGGGCAGCTGGAACTCACTGACAGGCGGGTAGAACGCATCACTGGCCTGGCCATTTTTCTCATCCGTGGACGCGGTTTCTTGGCAGATTTTCCTGGCAGATTGCAGGGACCGAGGAGCTGAGTGGTCGGGCTAACAAGTCGTTTCTGTGGGCTCCTCGGAGAGCAGCTTTGTCACCTCCACCTCCTGCATGGATCTCACGATTCCAGGAAGGTGTTACCATTCAAGATTCTATTAGATCCTGGAGGAGTAAATATGGTAGTGTGCACAGGCTTGCACACTTTTCTATTTGCAGGACACCCAGGTCCTACAGAACGCTCATGTTCTTCTCAGCAGAGACCAGGGCCAGGAGAGTGCAGAAGAAGGCTGGCTGGAGGAGTGGTTGAATCACTCATTCAGCAGCTGCCTCCTGAGCAACTGATACCTGCTACAGAGCAAGAAGGCCTCACTGTTGCCCTTAGGGGGTGCAGTGCCTTGCCACAGAGGCTGGATGTGTCTGTACCAACTCAACATAGCTGGAGACAGACTGGAATGCTTGGCAGCAGTGCCAGGGTTACTGGTGGTCAGGGGCTGGACTGGTTTCCAAGTTCTTGGCTTCTCCTTCAAGAAAGAAAGGTATATATGGAGTTGCAAAGTATCAAGAATGCTTTACTCAAAGCATTTAGAAAGGAATATGCTGTTAAGATTGACAGTCACATGCGTAAAGATTCACAGGGCCCCAGGTTATTACCAGGAGCCCCCTTTTATGGGGGTCTAATGGTAAGACACGTTTGATTCCTAGGGAGGTAGTTTGTGTGGTTCTCTATTATATTGACAGATTAACTTTTATAATGGTTTTTCTACAATGCATGCCCCTTCAAATAATGCATAGGGTTTTTTAAGTCATATATATACCCAATTATGCATAGGTAAATAGAGGATTGTCTCTAAATGTTCACTTTAAGGACATAGTTAGCCTTATTGTGCATATACCCCAAACCAGTTCATGCCATCTTGGCCTTCCTACTCTCTATGCCCAGACATAAACAATTGTATTGAATCTAAGTTTGATGGTCTTTAGGAAGAGGAAAAACTTATTCTATTGCTACGAGAGCAGTGTGTGTGTAGCTCAGTGCAGTCTGGAGTCCTCGGTTGCTAACAGGTTGCACTATTCAGAGAAGGATGTGTGCGCATACCATGTGCAGATGAGAGATCTAGGCTGCCAAGTGCATTATTAGAAGAGGTGTGTGTGTGTGTGTGTGTGTGTGTGTGTGTGTGTGTGTGCGCGCGCGCGCGTGCGCGCGCGTGCGCGCGCACAGCCCAAAATGAGTGAAGTCCCAGGTTGCTAAGCTGTCCCCTGTGTTTGCCTGCCTCTCCAGTAGAGAAGAGCACACACAAGAATAGTGACTCCGAAGTACAGCTCCAAAGACAGAGCAACCCTGGTCCCATCCCAGGCAGATGGATTCCCCGGTCTCCTGAGGGCTTCCCGGCCAAGGAGCTGGAATGAGAGTTGCTCTAAGCGTTTGAGCACAGGGTCTCCTGCCGGAGATGAAGCTCTCTAGGATTTTGAGGTCTAGGCAGATCTTTTCTATGTCCTCCTGTTCTTGGGGGGCGGGTCTGTGAGTGATTCTCAGATCCTTCTGAGAAGATAGAAGTCTTTGTGCAGGATCACCTGACTTCTCCACTCTCTTGACCAGTCACATCCTGTAGCTCTTCATCACGGCTCCACAGGAGTTTACTGGTGGCAACAAGGCTCCTTGGTCTCTTGGATAATGTAACAGGGGCTGGAACAGATAAATGGCGTATGGTTACTGTGTTAGTTACTTTTCTGTTGCTTTGATAAAATACCACAACCAAAACCAAGTTCTAGAAGAAAGTTCACTTTAGTTCACTATCTAGAGGGATAAGAGCCATCATGGTGGGAGACATGGCAGCAGGAACGGGCATGGGTTCAGGACCAGGGAGCTGGAAGAGCACATCCTCAACTCCAAACACAGTCAGCAGGGGCAAACTGGAGGAGGGGTGAAGCTCTGGAACATTCGGAACCTGCCTCGAGTGACCCAGTTCCTCCAGCAAGGTTCCACCTTCCAAAGGCTCCCCAGCTTCCTCAAACAGTCTGTCTATGTGCTGAGGATTTATGGTCTGACCTGGGGAGGAGTAGCTGGGGCAGGGGTACTTATCATGCTTGACAGGGGGCAGTGGAAGATCCTTCATGCCTAAGCCAGTGGCCTATTGATGGATGTCATCCAAAGGCACCCCAGCCTATTTGCCCCATGGACCAGAATAACAAGCGCTATCGTTGCCCGTGTAGTTGGCCGTAACGGGGGTATTAGGCTGTGGGGAAGAGGTACCCTATGACTGGTGTGGAGCACTGGTATGGATTTGGAAGCCAGTCCTCCCACAGTGGTTCTGCTACTAGAGAGGCACATGGTGAATACAGAAGGAGCCTGTCCTTCTCCTGCCTGGTGGGTAGCAGCTCTTTCCGATGCTATTAGTGACATTTATTTGGGGTATGATTGCCATGGAGAACTGTGGGCAATGCATTATCTGATACTGTCCCACCCAGCAGGTGAAGAGATGGCACCTAAAGCCAACGGAGGATGAAGTTTTATCAAAAGGTGGGGCCCAGGCCTCTCCCCTGTAATGTTAGGGCACTCCAAGCTGGAGAGTTGGTGTGATTTAAGGAGCCTGGTCTAAGGGACTCAAATCCTCACCTGTGCTGATGTTGGATACCTGTGAATAAGACTGCTGTTTAACTCTGCAAGCCCCATGCTCCATGGGATACTTCCTCTCCTAGACAAACTGGAGTAGTTGGTCACTTTCTACTGGGGCCTTGGAGTCTTCCTGTCTGTGGTGGCTTGAATGTTAAATGTCCCTCATAGTCTTGAGCATTTGAACACTTGGTCCCCAGTTGTGTCACTGGGAGGTTTAGGAGGTGTGACCTTGATGGAAGAAGTATGTTACTGTGGGTGGCCTTTGAGGTTAAAAAGCCTAGAGTCATTCCCAACATGCCCTCTCTGTTTCATGTTTGTGGTTCCAGATGTAAGCCCTCTTCTTCCACCACGCCTTTGCTCTCCCATCGTGGACTCTAACTCTCTGGAACTGTAAGCTGAAATAAACTCTTTATAATATAAGTGCCTTGGTCATTGCGGTGGCTAGTTTTATGTCAACTTGTTGCAAGCTAGAGTCACTGGAGAAGAGGGAGTCTCAACTGAGAAAATACCTCAGTAGGCAAACATATGGGTGTTTTTGTTTTGTTTTTAGTGATTTTAATTAGTAATTGATGAGGGAGGGTGTAGCAGGAATCTTAAAAGTTCTTATTAATAAAATCAAACCCGAGGCGAGTTATTGGGGTCCATGCTGGTAGATCAGAGAGACAGAACAAACCACAGCTATCTCACCTCTCCGGATCCTCAGCTGGTCTTGTCTCCTCAGACTGGAGGCCTCGGAGTCCTCATCCGGAATGGGTCTCAGCTGAATTACTGCTCAAAAGCCTGAATGCTTAACCAGCCAAATGCTTCTAGTTTATGGTCCTCACGCCTTATATATCTTTCTGCTTTCTACCACCACTCCCTGGGATTAAAGGTTGGCTTTCTGGGATTAAAGGCATGTGTCACCATGCTTGGCTATTTCCAATGTGGCCTTGAACTCACAGAGATCCAGAGGGATTTCTATCTCTGGAATGCTAGGATTTTTTTTTTTTTGCCTTTTTCGAGACAGGGTTTCTCTGTGTAGCTTTGTGCCTTTCCTGGAACTCGCTTTGGAGACCAGGCTGGCCTCGAACTCACAGAGATCCGCCTGCCTCTGCCTCCCGAGTGCTGGGATTAAAGGCGTGCGCCACCACCGCCCGGCCTGGAATGCTAGGATTAAAGGTGTGAGTGCCACCATTTTCTAGCCTTTGTATCTAGTGGCTGTCTGTTCTCTGACCCCAGATAAATTTATTAGGGTACACAATATCTTGGGGAACACAATACCACCACAGGAGGGCCCAGCACATTGTGGGTGGTGTCACCCCCGGGCTGGTGGTCCTGGGTTCCATAAGAAAGCATGTTGAGCGAGTCATGGAGATCAAGCCACTAACAGCTCCCCTTCATGGTCTCTGCATCAGCTCCTGCCTCCAGGTTCTTGCCCTGCTTGAGTTCCTGTCCTGACTTCTTTTGAAGATGAATTTTGATGTGGAAGTGTAAGCCAATTAAACCTTTTCCTCCCGACTTGCTTTGGTTATGGTGTTTTGTCACAGCAATAGCAACCCTGCAACTCTGCCAGTCATGATGTTTTATACAGCAATAGACAAGTAACTAAGACGTTACCTGTAGCGAAGGAGTTACACAAAAGGCTCTGAGGGTCCCTGGGCTTCCCACATTCCAATCTGAGCCTGCTCTCCTCCTTGCTCACTGATGGAAACCCCCTGAGCCCCTCTGCCCTTGGCTCCTAGCTGCTCTTCCGGTAACTGTGTGGCATTAGGAGACTTTCTATCTGCTAAACTTCTGGTGTAGAGTGGAGGTGGGAGTAGGGGGAACTTTCTCCAAGTGGGTGTGGCTTGGAGACAGATCCCCAGGTTTCCTTGGAAACAGCAGAAAAGCAGCACCATGGTGACAGGAATGATTTGTGCTGCTCATGGCCAAGAAATTGCACCATGCAGTGTCTATAGGAAGAACTCCTGCTCTGGCCCAGGGCTCTGGGCATACCCAAGGATCTGGTTACAGGCCAATGCTTATTTCTCTGCATATGTGCAGAAGGGTGGCTTTGGGACCTCCAGAGCCTGGAGGGGAGGTGACTGGGACAGGTCACACACATGTCATGAACAAAAGCACTTCTGCCTCTTGCCAGCCAAGGAAGATCCCAGATATTAGCAGATGGAGTTGCAGATGGGAACCTGGGGGTGTAACTGTTACAATATTAAGAATATGTAGAAGCTGGGGTGTGCTCAGTCAGTAGAGTGCTGTTTGTCTCACATGTGTGAAGTTCTGGCTTCAATCACTAGCATCACATAAAACAGATACAGTGACACACACTTGTAATAATCCCAGAGCAGCACTCATGAAGTAGATACAGGAGGATTAGATAGTCATGGTCACTCTTGACTTCACAGCAAGGTTGGGGTCAGCCTGGGATCTATGAAACCCCATCTTAAAAATAAAAGTATTATACAGTAAGTTCTCGAAAGAATAAAGGCGTTAGTTAAAGCAACTGTCAGCTGACTGCCCACCCTCACTCTAGGAAATAGGAGACTCCATGGAGGCTTCCTCTGGGAGCCACTGCTCGTATGTTACATCCAGTAGGCAAGTGACAGGAGCCCTCCAAGTGTTTGCCTAGCTGCGGGTCACCAAGATCAGGATCCCCGCACAGCCTGAGGGAAGGTGTGTGACCACTGTCACAGGGAAGGGGTCCACCTGTCTTCTCTCTGTCATGCTTTTCAAAGTGTTGGGGCCTTTGCAACTCTGTCCCCCAACTGCTTGCGTATTAACCTCATCATTACCCACCCGCCATAGTATCCTGGCCTCTTCAATGGCTCTTTTCAGTTCTGATCTGAACAAGCCAGAGGCGCTATAGCCAGAGTGCCCTGAATTTCCCAGGAGTCCTTTGCATACTCAGAGGCAGTTAAAAGCTCAATGTCTGGTCACCCCCAGTATTAAATTCTGCAGAGGACTGTGGAGGGAATGTCCCTCCTGAACAAGCTAAGCTTACTGTTCAGTTTCTTCCGTGAGAGTGCCAACCACACTGCAAGGTGTGGTGTCCTCTGAGCAGGCCTGCCCACGAATCCTAGGTTCTAGTCTCCATCTCTCTGTCTTCCAGGCGGGCCTGGCCTCCCCTGAGAACTCGGAACAGCTCATCATCGCCTTGGAGCCAGAGGCCGCCTCCATCTACTGCCGGAAGCTGCGGCTGCACCAGATGATTGAGCTCAGCAGCAAGGCGGTGGTCAATGGGTACAGCGCCAGTGACACAGTAGGAGCGGGGTTCACACAGGGTACCTCTGCTCTCTCTCTCCCCCCTCTGCTCCCCCAGAGGCACCTCAGGCTGTAAGGGTCGGGATATGCCGTGGGGAAGGTGGGTCTTAAGCCCCTCTTTGCTTGGTGTTCCCACCTGGCCCCTAGGAGGGACTCCCCCGTGAGCTAAGCATTGGTCACCCTGGCTGGCCACCCTTTGGGGGCCTCTCTCCCAGAACCCAAGGGTGACCCGAGAGCCATTCCTAGCCTTGCATTTCACTAGGATCTGAGACTTTCTTGTCTCTAACTGAGTCAGTCTAATCCAGTTTGCCTGCTATTAATTCCCCCATTAAGATTGTTGTCTTATCGCTGTCTTACTCACTGGGCTGCTCTGGGTGTGTGGAGCTCATTAGGTGCCTTAGCTGAGAAAGTGGCTGATTTGTGCCGACCCAGGAGATGTACCCTGAGCTGTGGGGAAGGAGCCCTTGCTCAGCCTGACCCAGCCTAGGTATTTTATAAGGAGCTTTCCCCTGCATAAACTGACTATCTCGGTCCCCAGAACTGTATGCTCCGTGGGTCCAGGCTCCGTGGGTCCAGGCTCTGTGGGTCCAGGCTCTGTGGGTCCAGGCTCTGTGGGTCTATCCAGGGCTCCAGGGGTTTTAGAGAGATGAGGTCATGGTCAAAGCACCACTGAGAGCTTGGATACTAACGGGGAGCACCATATGTGTTGGGGAGCATAGTATGGGTGGGGAGGTGCTATATGCCCCAGCTCTGAGTTCCGCTGAGTTCCGCGATGAGTACCTGGTGGGCAGAAACACACCCTCTACCCACGTTCACACCCAAGTGGCTCTGGAAGGACCCAGGCCCAGGAGGAAGTTAGGAAGAACATTAGTGAGGATTGCTTGACCTAAGCTTGGACCTGAATTTAAAAAAAGGGGGGGGGGGGAGGAAACATTGAAAGTAACATGACTGCTTCTAGGTTTGGTGGAGGAGAAGGTTTATTGTAGATAAAAGGGAGACCCACAGCCAGAGGCAGGGGCATCTTGGGGAGTCCAGAGTCTAGACCTGACCAGACAGAGCTGTGTCATGTGGGGAGAGGGGGAGGGACGAGGGAGAGAAGAGAGAGGACAACCTGGTGCAGCAGCCAGGAGGCCCAAAGGTACAAAAAAGAGCAGGCAATCAAGATGGTTGGATTATATAGAGAAGGGCAGCCCAACCCCTTGGGCTGGAGAAGTTTAGGGTAAGGGGCAGGGTATGCCAGCCATGAGGGCCCTGTAACAGATAGAGACTGAGGGATGCTGGGAGAACCTGGCAGCCAGGTCCTCTTTTGATATGTTAAATAGGCACCTCAGCCATTTGTTCTAGGTTTGGGACCTAACAGGACCTATGTTTCCCGTAGTCCCCACACTCAAAAGCCTGAGTCTGCCCTTGCCAAGATCCCAGCTTTCTTCTGGTCGCTCCTCAGTCATCTTCATGAGGACAGCTCCGTCCCAGGGGACACCCTGTTCCTTTTCATCCCTTGAGTTAGTTGTTAGTGGCTACCAGGAGGTGGCAAGAACTATGTTTGTCCCTGAGCTGCCCGTTCTGCTTGCCTGGGGCTATGCGTTAACACCTTATCTGATTTACCAGGATGGGGGCAGAGACTTTCCTTTAGGCCCAAGGGCTGGATTAGTCCTTATCCTCATTAATGGCCACCCTGGCCTTGCCAAGGGATGCCAAGGCCAGCCTTTCCTCTAAGGAACTCGGTGCTTTGTCATTTCAAATACACAAAGGCAGTTTCTCCGTTGTCTCATTGGAAGGGCCATGAAGCTCGTGCACAGCTTTTACCTGTGGTGTAGAACAGCCCCCGGTTTTCGGGAGGTGCCTGCTGATTTCAGATGAGATCCATGTCTCCTCATTGCTGCACCGTGGTGTCTGTCCTGTGGCCTGAGGGTTTTGTTGCTGTCTGTGTGTGCTCACCGGGGCCTTTCCTTTGGTTTTCGGAGCCCTCATTGGTGGCCGACATGCCTCGGAGGAGCGCAAGGCAGGGGCTGGGTGTCAGCCTCACATTGCAGTTGGACGGGCTCTCCCCGGGGTGGGATGCTGCCGGACCCCAGAGGAGCACTTTTTCAGGGTCCTCGTGATCACAGGTTGGTAGACAGAGGCTCCTACAGAGGGAGGGAGCTGGCAGACATTCAGCCTCCACTAGGCAGGGTTTACAGGGAACATTATGTGACTCCTGATGGGTTTTAATGGAATCCATAAAAGATACTTTCTCCAATCTTGGGCTTAATCTACCTGAAAAACTGGGATAATTCTCTGAGAACTGGAAAGACGTTTTGTTGCCTTCACTCAGATATTATTTTATGAATCCCATCTGTAGCCATCTAAATTGTTTTAGCAAACCGGGGCCAGGCAGTGGTGGTGGCGCACGCCTTTAATCCCAGCACTTGGGAGGCAGAGCCAGGTGGATCTCTGTGAGTTCGAGGCCAGCCTGGGCTACAGAGCGAGATCCAGGACAGGCACCAAAACTACACAGAGAAACTGTGCCTCAAAAAGAAGAGAAAAGAAAAGAAAGCAAAGCAAACCAGATCCCTGCTACAAGGTCTAAGACATAGTTTGCGTCTTGGTTGGCCCGTGCTGTGCCTGGGAGTCAACCTCCTTGCATGCTACGGATGGGCTCTACCACTGAGCCATACCTCTAGTCTACTATAGCTCACCGGGAACCAGTGTGGGGATGGGAGAGAAGTCCAAGTTTGGGGAGCCCTCTGAGGGGCCCCCTTGACCACTCCAACCCAGGCTCTGAAGAACCTGGAGCCGGCTGGGCGTTTGCTGGTCTAATCCTGAGAGAAGTTAGTTTTGCAAACACTGCTTCTTGCAGAAAGAGACTAGAAGGTCAAGGATGCTGCTAGATATTCAGCAAGGAGGGATTCAAAGGCATTTCAGAAGGAGAAGGGTAGCTTAGGGATTTAAAGAACACAATGGTGGGGAGCGGGGGAGGACAAGGCAGGAGAGCTTTTCTCTGTCACCCTAGGGCTGCTCTAAGAAATTATTTGTTGTGGTTGGCATTTTGAGACAGAGCACCAGGTCTCATAGTAGGTGCTCTGCCTTTGTTATCATCTACTGTATGCAGGCCGTCACTCCAGGTATACAGTTGGCCCGCAGGATGCGTTAGGGAAGCAATCCCTTTTCTGCCCACGGGGAACCTAGACCTAGTGATGAGAAAACTGAAGCCCAAAGGGCTAAAGCCCATTTGTCTGTGGCCTGCTGTCTCCAGCATACCCTTTCACAATACTTTTCTTGGCTCATTTTTCTGCTTTTCCAAACTTAGAAATTGTTAGATCTCAAAAGTCTCTGGTCTCTGGTCTGAGGGATTCACATTGCCAAACAAAAAACTTGGATTTCTGAGTCCCACGTCCTCACCCTCCTCAGCTGAGCACAGGATGGTCGGTTATTAGTGCCCTGTCTGTCGCAAAGGTGGTCCAGCCACTCATCACACTGGCAGAGGCATCCCCTGGGTGCCCTGGTGATGCAGCGCTGGGATTCCTTACGTGCAGATGCTGCCTTGTGGCTGAAGCGCCCCCATGTGGCAGAAGTGCACATTGCCTTCAACAGCTGCGGGAAAGGGGCTCCAGATCCTTTTATCCCAGAGATTCCCGCGAGCAAAATATACCCGGCATTCCAAAGCTCCATGATGTGAAATGGTTTAACCTAGTGCACTGTGGGCCGCTGGGAAACTGGCCCATTTCATTAACCCGCTCCCCAGAAGAAAGTCACCACAGCCAAGAATCTCCTCAGGGCAGGCTTTACAGCTGGGCATGGGCCAAAGATGAGGGCTTCTTCCCTTGGAGGAACTGGCTTTCTGGTTTTTGATGTTGTGTTTCTTAATCCTATTGGCTAAGGGTCAGTAAATGTCCCATCCCTGGACCCACCATGCTGTTGTCTCCAGCTGCTGCAGACAAATGTCGCCTTTTCATGCTTTTTTCTTATGCTTGGTCTTTTTCTCTCTGTTGGCCGCTAGCTAAGGAACATGTTCGGCGTAACCGGCAGAGTCGGACCTTCTTGGTGGAGAATGTCATAGGAGAGATCTGGTCTGAGCTGGAGGAAGGTAGTGTGTTGGGATGTCTTTTGCCCCTACTTGTTATTGTTTATTTTCACTGCCGGCAAAAATGTATTATTATTCATTACATTTGCACTTTGGGAAGATGCTCAGTAGCTTTAAAGGCCACTTGCTCAGGGATGGCCCTTCTGGGATCTGGAGTCCCGCGTGTTGGAAAACCATGCAGATACTCTTCCCAAGGAACATAAGGCTCGCCACTTCTGGAGGGAGTCTTGTGTTGAAGCACATGCCGTGGGTTGTGGTGGGGACACAGCCCTGTGTGGCATGAATGCCTTGGTCCTCTGGATCCTCTCAGCTGCCCCTTCATCCATGCTTAGCCCTCCCTCTTGGATGGGCATGACTGCATTCTCTTTAGTTACCGAATAACTTGCTGTGCTGCTGCTAATTAACAAAAACAACTGTGCTTGTGGGCGGTGTTGACGTGAGTGGCTGAGTCCAAGTTATCGTTCGCCAGCTTGTTTGAGGGGGACAGATACGTGGCGTATCTTAAAGATTACTGTCTTTTCTGCCAGGTGACAAGTATGTGGTTGTCGACAGTGGCGGAGGCACTGTAGACCTGACGGTCCATCAGATACGGTTACCGGAGGGACACCTTAAAGAACTGTACAAAGCAACAGGTGACCCACCGCCTGGCTGGTTGGCTTCCCCAGCCTCCAGTCATTCCTGGTTCACTCATTTTAAATTTCTCTCAGCATCACAGGCATGTGGACAGTGGGTGGCAGAGGGCCCTTCCATCTGTTTACAATAGGAAAGCAAAATATAGCCAAGTGTTCTTGCAAAGGCAAACCACCCCTTGAGTTTGGGCATCAAACTGGATAGTGACACTGTTAATGCAGTTTTGCCATGAGTTGCCTGTAGCTTGTAGTCACCTGACTGAAATCTAAGGCCAGATTTCTACACCTAGATCAAGATCATCAAAATAAGGAACATACCTTTCCATTTGGGAGGGCAAGTCTGCCGAGGTGATGTCATTAGAAGATGAGGTGATGTCATCGGCAGACTGCATGGCCTGAGTCCAGCTGGTTTTCCAGACCTCACCTGTGGGTTTTCCAAAAGGGAGGACTGTGATTTTTGAAGTTAGTTATCTATATTGATTTTATTTATAATGAAATAGGTTTAAACAGACTGTTGGATTGCTGCATGGGAAAAGGTCACAGAGTAAGAGCCTAAGGTATTAAAGAGTGAGGGGGCCCCAGTGTGCTTCAGAGGACACAGGGGAGGCCTGGGTTTCAGCGTTTGGTTTCAGCCTCTCATGGGTTTTCTAACATTGTGGGCTCCCATTTGGTTCTCATCTCAGGTGGACCCTATGGATCTCTGGGAGTAGATTATGAATTTGAAAAGCTGCTCTGTAAAATATTTGGAGAGGACTTCATTGAACAGTTCAAGATCAAGCGCCCGGCAGCCTGGGTTGACCTAATGATCGCTTTTGAGTCTCGCAAAAGAGCCGCTGCACCAGATCGAACCAATCCCCTGAACATCACTCTGCCCTTCTCCTTCATCGACTACTACAAGAAGTTCCGGGGGCACAGCGTGGAGCATGCCTTGAGGAAGAGCAAGTAAGTTGGCTCACCTTGGGCTCCAGAGTCTGGGAGTAGACAGTGTTGATGGGACAGAGAAATGAGGTGTAGACTGTGCATTCTGACAATGCTCGGTGTACTCTTGAGCAAGTGACTCAATTCATCAATGCCCCAATTTCACTTTTGCTGTGGAAAATGAGGGTAATAATTCTACTTACCTCAAAGGGTGGTTGTGGGCATAACATGAGTTCCTGTCGGTTAGGCAGCTAGCATACTACCCAGGTCCCAGAAAGTGTGGTCTACGTGTTAGCTGGTATGTTCCCTGAGAAAATAATAGCTTTACAAAAATAAGACAATTTGTTTGGGTGATGTCTTTAGTCACTATTACTGTGAAGAGACATCATGATCAAAGCAACTCTTGTAAATAAAAGCATTTAATTTGGGGCTTGCTTACAGTTTCAGAGGTTTAGTCCATTATCATCATGGCAGGGAGCTTGGCAGCATGCAGGTAGACATAGTGTTAGAGAATTGGCTGAGAGCTACATCCTGATCCACTGAGAGAGAGGAGAAAGGAGAGAGACAGACAGAGGCAGGCAGGTAGGCAGACAGACAGACAGACACTGGGCCTAGCATGGGCTTTTGAAATCTCAAAGCCCACCCTGCAGTGACACACTTCCTCCAACAAGGCCACGTCACCGATGCTTTTCAAATAGTGTCACTCCCTGGTGACTAAGTGTTCAAATGTATGAGTCTGTGGGGGCCGTTCTCATTCCAACCACCATAGGTGGCTGCTATAGCAGCTTCCAGAATAGGATTTGGTGTGTTCTAGGCGAATGAACCTCAGTGGGAATTTGGTTTTCCTGCTTCTCCACGGCTCTGGCCTGCAATTATAGCTCACTTTGTTGCAAAATGAACCCATATGGAAGATTTTGATTAAAGCTGAAAGTTTTTTAAATAGAAAAACATTCCCTAAGTTTCTGATAACTTTTTATAAGTTGTTTTTGAGCCATATGTGGTAACGCATGCCTATAATCCCAGCAATATGGAGGCTGAGGTAGGTGTGTCTTGAGTTCAAGACCAGCCTGGGCAACATAACAAGACCATTTTAAAAATTACTTTTGTTATACATGTCCAGAGTGGTTGGCACTATAGTCTAATTTTCTTACCTGTCACTTTCCATAGTCACCCCCTCTTAATGGCCTTCTTATAATGGAAAATGAAAGTCTATCATCTACTTCCAATCATTGGCAGTTCCTAGCCAGTCTAAATCACATGGGCCTCCCCCAATTACTTTAAAGCAAATCTCTGATTATTATCTAATCCATAAATGTGTCATCTTGGAGTTCTAAAGGAGAGATATTTTAATAGGACCATAATATGGTCGCACTTAAAATGTATTGTTCTTCAGTGCTGTTGAGTTAGGGGCTGGGGAGGTGGCTCAGTGGTAAGACACTATCAAATGTGAGGACCAGAGTTTGGGTCCCCAGAGCGTACGTAAAGCCAGGCTCAGAAGCATGCATCTGAGATCCCAGCATTCCTACAGAAGAGAGGAGGTGGGCACAGGAGGATCCCCTGGAAGCTTGAAATACTCAGTGGGGGGCAGTTTCCATTGCTGTGATAAACACCATGGCCATCTCAAACAAGGTGAATAGTGGGGACTCCTCATACATGCTGTGACATGTCTGGGCCCACACGTCTGCATGAGTACACATGCACACATACACATTCTCTCTCTCTCTCTCTCTCTCTCTCTCTCTCTCTCTCTCTCTCTCTC